CTTATAATCTGCCAAATTTCATTAACATTCACTTACTAATTTAAAAGTTATAGCATGAAAACTATAACAAGCACAATATGAGGTTATGACCGACCTCATATTGAAAGAGTTAATTAAATAAAAATTATTTAGTGCATTACTACCATTAAGACCCGGGTAAGTACTTTATTTCTTGTTTTTCATGTTTATTTTTTATTATAAAAGTAACTAATAAGTAAAAATATCTCTGAGTTAGATTAGGTAAAATAAATAATAGTATAATAAAAATGTTTTACAAGACACGCACGTGAGCAGCTTGTGGGTAATGTAATACAACTACATAATCGAAGCTCCATGTTCCTCAAGTGATTTACAACTTATAATGGTAAAAATAGTAGTTGGACATGGTTCAAAGGGCAATAAAAAAATAAAATTTAGTATAAATAAATGTATACTGTTACGAGTTTAAAGCTACTTATGATAAACGGATTTAGTTTCATATTACAATTTAGAGTTATTCTAGAAGGAAAATAAGGGTAATTTAGATTTATTTTTTGTATTTTTTGACCAACCGTGTATAGAGCTAGGGTAGAGAAAATAACAGATGAAATGTAAAGTTTTACTGAAAACAAACATTTGAAATGTATTTAGAAAGTTTTAGAGATTATGCAAATGAAATTTGAGATTTTTGAGATGAATAAAAATATTTTAAATTTTAACATGAAAATCACTTTACTCACGGACTACGCAAAACGAATACTCTTTATATTCATGGACAAATCTTTTTTTTTAGTTTATTTAAAATATTTGACTAGAAAAATATTATTTTTGTACGTCAAAAACCTATAATGTTTACTGAAAGTCTGCCAAATTTTGTGAAATTATACATACTATATTAAAAGTTAGTAGTATCAAAACTATAAAGACTTTAAACAAGTGCAAAGAGGTCACGTGGTCTGTCAAATCAACCGAGTCTGTGTTGAGAGAGTTAATGAATTTTGACATGCACATTTGTCAAATGGATTGAAGTGGTATGGAACCTGTATGGAAAAGCTTAAACTACATTAACAAACTGAATAAAATATAAAACTGTTGGTATAGGATAAAAGTTTTGTATCTTTTACAGGGCTTGACATAGCCTGTTTCCCAACATCCCAGAAATGCCTTAAATGCTTCCCAGAACACTTGAAACTTCTATATAGATGTTTAAAAATTCAGAAAATAGCTAAAATGGGATAGAAAAAATATATCATTTAAAAAAAATGCTTCACCACTGTTAACATGGCATCATCAGGTACTTATCACAACTAACCACAACAGTTAAATACACCCAATTGGTGTAATAATAATATAAACATATTCCTTGTGTTTTATTTATTAAAGGTTTGTATTCCTTTATTAAAATGGCTTATTTTATTTTATGTTTATTAATATTAGGTTCTCAACAAATAATTTAAAAAATTTTATTTTCACTTAAATGTTAGTAGACAAGTGATGGAGCATGTCCATGTTCCACTATTCTAGTACTTAAATTTCTACCAATCTTCCCCATATTATTACAGTCCATACATTCTACACTGTAAACTACTTCTTTCTCAATAGTAGTTGTTTGAATTCCTTTTTTCTTTTCTTTTTTCTACATTATATTAAACTTTTTTTCCTGCATTGGAAGTTTATACATCCTTTCTGTTTCTTTCCCAAGCCTTTTTATCATATTTGATAGACCGTGTACATAAGGAATTACACAATAAACTAAATCATCTGAATGACTTTTTTTTTCTTATGTCAACCTATCAGTCTTAAGTGTTTTCTAACCACATTAATAGGATAATCATTCCTTTTCACCAATACATTTTCCAGGTAATGTACTCCCTTATCCAGCTCATCTTTTGAACTACAATTAGTTTTTGCAATAGCCAGTAAAGTTTTTATGATTCCTATTTCTTGAAACTTGTGATGAAATTTTGATTAACTTTGATGCGGTGTTAGACTAAAGTCGAAAGAAGGCAGCCAAAGAGGAGGAAATGATTATGATGGTATTGATAGTAGTAGTGGTAGCTTAAACATTTATGTATTATTGTTTAACTTTAGTACTGGAGTATATTATTAGTAAAATGATTCTGGACAAGTTGATGTGGGGAAATTACAAAATGCATATGAGATGCTTAAAAAACAGAACAGGTGTTTTCCAAGGTTGTATTGAGTCTTGCTTTAAAACACATTTTCTGTATTTACAGGTACAAAAAGCTGGTAGACATATTTGTTAAGTATTTTTAATAACTAATTTTGTATACCCTAGTCCTGAGAATGTTCCTAGACTTTTTGATTTGATTGAAGTGAAAGACACCCGAGTTTTGCCTGCTTTTTATTTTGCTTTACGTGATACACTGGTTGCAAACAACTTAGAACAGGCAACTCGTATTGGTCTGCAAGGAAAGAAAAGACACAGAGTAGTGACATTAAAAGGAGAACTCATTGATTTATCAGGTTAGTGTGAACACTAAATTTTAAATTGTATTACTAAGCACTATTCATGTGTACAGTATAAGAAAATATCATTCTTAATTTTTGCAGTTAATGTACTAAATTTTATGTTTGATTATTTAATGTGATAAAAGATTCAGATATATGATTATGTAAAGCTTAACAACCAAAACGAGAAGATATTTATAGCATCTGCTATAAATATCTCAACTAATATATTCTAATATTTGCCACATTCCAGTAGTAAAATATATTGTTGAATTATTACTATTGGACTAAAGTATAGCTCCCTCTAGCTGCTTTTTTTTAGTTATTTAATTTGTGTTTAGCTAAATTCAATTGTCTAGTTGTGTAAAGATTTGAAAGCTTAACAAATTTTTTAATAATAGGAACCATGAGTGGTGGTGGTGGAAAAGCTGCTTCTGGAAGAATGGGAACTGCTGCTGTCAATTCAGACATTACTCCTGATGAACTTACAGCTATGATTACTAAACTAGAAGAGATGAGAAAGATAACTGAAGATCTTAAGGAAAGGAAGATAATGCTGGAAGAGAAGATGGAACAACTAAACAAAGAACTTGTTGCATTACGCCATTCTGAACAAAAGCATAGACTGGAGGTAGAGGTAAGAATGACTCAAGTATAATAATTAAATAAAACTCTTTTTTTTTACTATTTTATCCCAAACAGAAACATACTGAAGATGAAATTGTAAGTCACAAAAGTAATGTTACTCAAAATGAAATTTTAGCATTGTATAATTATTAAGAAAAACAGAAACTGAAAAATAGTATTGTAGTAACAGAAGCAAATACCCATATTAACCCTTTCATTACCACCTTGGTAGATTACACCAACCACCCCAATGTAACTATCAATTTCCATGCTATAAATTTTAACATATTTTGTGTATCTTCATAAAATGTTTCAATGTTAATGTGACACTGTAATATAATACCATTGATAGCAAAACAAGCATGGGACCATAATATGACACCATTGATAGTAAACAAGCATGGGTGACACAATAATGAGATTCCCACAGAGTTTATCATAATTTCAGCTCCAAGAACGCAGTAGGAGAGGATTTATTGGCTTGTTTACAGTGCAATGGTTACAACAAGAATTGTCTAAAGTAATAAAAATGTGGGAAAATGTTTATTATATGGCTGTGTACCAAGTCCAGGCCAATCCAATAAACTTTGTAGGTATTTGGATGTTAGTATGTTAGTTATCCTCCATGGGTGGTCAGAATTTAGCAGTATAGGTGTACAAAGTAACTTAGTGCGAATGAACCTATGTATGTATATATATATGTATGTATGTATGTGTGTGTGTGTGTTTGTATGTATGTATGTGTATATATGTTTATATAAAGCACAGAAATCTGTGTCTGTCTGTTTGTCCATTATATAATTGCTCCTGGGTTGCTGTGCCAATCTCAACCAAACTATGTAGGATGATAGTTTGGAACAAGGGGCATGTTAATGGGGGGTTCACAACGCTCTCCATCCCCCATTATTGGTGTTATTGTGCATTTATTATCTTTGAGGTAAGTTAACTTTAACTACATTTATAGATGGTGCCATGTTCTTACACCAAAGAGAAAAAACTTTATTAAATTTTCTATAACAAAACACATACAGTGTGGGGGAGGGCACACAAATGTCTTGTATATCTAGGAGAGTGCACTAGTACTCTCTATGGATGAATACAATGAAAAAAATGGCCACCATTATTGCAATAATACATAAACTCAGGTGAATTTTTGACTCAAACAGCCACAATAAGGCTGATATGAATAGCTGTTTCTCGAGTTATACCCACATCCTACTTTGACCCATGACCTTTCAACTTTGGTATGCAAGACACTCCTGCAGCCAATGACCATCAATTAATTAATCACATGAAACACTGTGGAAGGACATTAAGAGCTGGTAACAGAAAGCACACCTACTGTCACTACTTTGGCTGCTACCTCTTCCTACAAAGTCACCCTAACCATCGCACAGTGTATTCCATATTTTAAGTACATAGATATTGAGTTCCTTAAAACTTATACAAAACTTTAGGTGAGGTAATCATGAATACTATAATAATATGTTATAAATAAATTGTGTGAAAGTTAGTATTTTTGTGTTATTTACCATAGCATCCACCCCCACATTTTTTAAGTTTGTAACCCAGATAAAGGACGGGTACCTCAGCTTGTAAACAGATAAATTAATATATATATAGAAAAATAGTGATTTTTAGTACTTATGATGTTACAAAATTGATTTGTGTTCACATGTCTTACTTGCTAAGCCTCGCTGTAAGCTTCATGTATTATCTCAACTAAAGGGGAAGACATTATTTTTTGTATATTTCAAAGAAAACCAATATTTATGAAATTACTATACTGTTATGTATAAAATTGCTAATTTATCTCACTTTCTATCTAAGCTATATGTGGGTTAAAAAAAATCTATTTCTGTTTAGAGCAATGACTTAGTCAACAGACTAAGTAAAACATTTCTAGTAAAACTGTAACTTTCCCATTTAACCCAATTACAATAGACTGTCAGATTTACCTAACTTGGAATGTGCTCTTTCTGTTGGTTATAAATATGCACTTAAGAGAAGTAGGCATGAATAAACAAGAGGTTTCAAAAGAATGAAGTAGTGGGAGGGGCTACTCTGGCGGCTTTGCTAAATATATTGGTATCTAAGCAAATCAAGAAGTTTGGAGGTTCTTATTTTATATTCTAGCTTGTCAATCTCAAAATTTTAGTTTCTAAATCACTATCCACCAACTCTGGTGGGTTTGCTAAATATATTGGTATCTCAGCAAATCAAGAAGTTTGGAGGTTCTTATTTTATATTCTAGCTTGTCAATTTCAAAATTTTAGTTTCTAAATCACTAACCGCTAACTCTGGTGGGTTTGTTAAATATATTGGTATCTAAGCAAATCAAGAAGTTTGGAGGTTCTTATTTTATATTCTAGCTTGTCAATTTCAAAATTTTAGTTTCTAAATCACTAACCGCTAACTCTGGTGGGTTTGTTAAATATATTGGTATCTAAGCAAATCAAGAAGTTTGGAGGTTCTTATTTTATATTCTAGCTTGTCAAATCTCAAAATTTTAGTTTCTAAATCACTAACCACTACAGACATTGTAAGGTTGGTGTAATACTATATAAACTGACCAGTAAGACAAGACGACATGTGACACACAAAAAAAGGATATTTAACATTTTGTTTTTGATATTTTCTTTCAAATTAAGAAACTAAAACATATATAGTATTCAAATTTAAATTATAAACTATGTTTTGATTGTGAATTTGATTGATATACATTGATAATAAAGTTGTTTAAATAAGTTTTGAAAATAACTAAAATGTATGTAGGCACTCTTTGACTTGTTAGTAGTGAGAGGGATAATGAACTTGTAGTGAGTCCTGAACAAAAAATATGTTGAAGATAAGATAAGTAATTTTAAAAAATCTATTTCAGTAATGATGGTGTTACAATACTTGGCTGGTTTTATTAATGAAAACATGATAAAAGGGGTTTGATTTCTATATTTTTCCTGAACGTTTAATTTTGAGATTATTTACCCTATCAATAAGTTTCAGTACATTCAAGTAATTTGTATTTGTACTTGTTTTCATTGCATAGAGACTAAATTTGTTGGTGTAAGTGGCTGGAAATTTTGATACTTTTTATTTTCAGCACAAGATTTTACTAAGTAGTAAAACGCACCTTTAATGTGTAACTCCTACTTTTTATGTAAAAGCCAAACTCTTTAATGTAAATTGTGTTTTCTGCAGTGGTACATGTCATATTTGCCTAATATGTTTCAGAATACTGTAGTTAATGTTAGAAGCAGGCTTCATACTTTCCCATACATAATTACATATATCAAACCACTACAACTGTAAGGGCACTATGAATATTTTATTTGTAGAAAAATAAAAAAAATTAAATATTGTAAACTGTAACTTATGGCTTTTTTTTCTAAATAGTTTTTTTAGCAGCATTATGACTAGTATAATAATGTCACTAGAACTTTTACCACCTTTTACTTATTGCTACGAAGTTAAGAGTTATAGATAATTTTGATGCAGTTGTGGTTATATCATCACATTACGTGTAATATTTGTAAATTGATGATGTTTATTATCGCGTGTCTTTTAAATGTTCTTTTTTTCCTTTGTTTTTGAACTTTTTTCTTCAACTTAAAGAAGTTTCATTGAACTTCTGCTTTGAATGCATAGGGATTACTTTAAAGCCCACAAGAAGGTACATTAAGTACTAATAGTTAGTTAAGAAACCCTTGATAAATTACAGATTGCATATAAATCAAATATTCTATGATTAATTAGCAGCAAACTTAAATACAATAGGTTAAGACATTACTAAAGATTTCAGGATAATTTGTTTTTTGTGGCTCTGTAATTTAAATCATCCTTATGAAAGTTATGTTTAATTATTTTTCTAACATAGGCACTCTCAACCCAGGAACGTTCACTTACCCAGCAGGAAAAAGAACAGCAAGAGCGTGTTAAAACCTCTGCCCCAGATAAAAATCAGATGAAGAAACTGGAGAAGGTTGTGGTAGAGGCTACAAGTGGTAAATGTTTTTGAACATTTATGATTAGTAAAAGCTGTAGACAGAATTTTTAATACATTTATGGTAGTAAAAGCTGTAGACAGAATTTTTAATACATTTATGGTAGTAAAAGCTGTAGACAGAATTTTTAATACATTTATGGTAGTAAAAGCTGTAGACAGAATTTTTAATACATTTTTATCAGTGGGTCCATTTCAAATTGGGTAGTTTCACTGTAGATCACCAAGTAATATTTAAAAATAAAGCCCCCTCCAGAATAAATCCTATAATATTTTCATGTAATATGCTACTGTACTGATCTAATAGCTGTTGTATCATTCCAATCCCAACAACTTCTGTGAATAACATGCATAGTGTGGTGATATGATTTGAATGACAGCACAGTTAATGAAGAACCACAGTAAATGGAACAAACTATTTCAAGACTTGATACTAGAAAAACTAGTTTTGCCTCCTTCATGTGTTTTCTTCAGTTTCGTATTGTCTTCTGGAAAACTGGTCAAATGTTTAAATGATTCCAGAACTTTGAATCCCCTCAAAGACACAGATGGTCAGAAGACCATTTCACATAAAGTATCTTTGGCAGGCTTTTGATTAAATAACTTTTGATGTAGTTATCCATTTTGTATAAAATTATTGCTGATTTTCTATAGATTTGATCTTATAAACTGTTATATGAAGAAAAAATGGCATTGTTTGTGCTTCCATGTATAATTTTTTTTTATGTTCAGAAACTTTTGTATCAACACATTATGGTTTCACCAACATAATGTTTCTCACAGGACTTGCACGATATATAAACAAAACACCTTTATCTTCAGGTGTTATTCTATTTGAAGCTGGGTTATTTTCAGTGGTCTTCAGATCTTTTCAACATAATATGAATGATGGTGCAGATTATAATTGTGCTGACCTTTTTTTTATTTTAATGTGGTAATTTTGCATTTATGAAAGCATAATATGTTACTGTGTGAATTAAAACTATATTGATATGTTTTCATTTAGACACATTCAAGTTGGTAATTTATAATATGGATAAAGAAAGTTAAAGAATCTTCCCTCCATTTTCTTCCCCCCTCCACAGAGCTCTTCACAAGCTGGTGCCTAAGGTTCTATAATTAATGTTTTTGGGTTAAACATGTTTATACTTTATTCTTGTTTTCAGATGCACCCACTTTTATCTTATTTGTTGCCCTCTTATATAACCACATTATTGTTGACTTAAAAAGTTTATTTTTGATGTTTTATGTTCCTTTTGTATCCTTTAGCATTATTACATATCGTAACACATGTCAATAGGTGTTCTCCGGGTGTCCTCAGCAACGAGATTTTAGTTGTTGTCAGAACATTGGGACATTTGCCTACTACACTAAGCCTGATAAAACAAGGCAGTTTGGCTTATATTTTAAAAGATTATTAAACCTTTCTAATATGTATTTTAAAACATAACTAACATATGATTAACTAAAATATAAAACTAAAACCTGAATGAAATTTAATTGTCTATCTGTAACAATTATAGGTGAGAAATAATGCTAAAGTGCTACAGAGATCACAAGCAGGAACAATGCTAAGAGCATTTGACATGTTTTTTATGGAACTCTTCATTCCAATTTTAAAATGACTGTTGGGAAATAGTATTTCAAAATGTGGCTTTCTGTTGGTTACAAACATTTAACTTAACTAAGTATAATTGGCTGAGAAATATCAACAGTATGCATAGAGAGTGAATGTGGCATCTGTCAAAAGTTCTAAGAAATTTATTTCTATTTTCTCCCAACATCCACTAACAAACTTGAAAGGAAAATGTGTGAACAAAGTAATTAACCTAGATTCTTCCTATATACAAAAGCTTTAGTATATTCAAGGCCTTCTCAACTTATTAAGGCCAATTATTAAAACTTTGTGCATAACTAACTGAAGTTGTGTGTCAAACTGAAGTTAAAGATTTTTTCTTGAAGGTTTCTTTTGAAATAAAGGAATTATATCTTAGATCATATAAAACTTTGGACTGTAATGTAAATGTTAATGCTAATTTTATTGTATACATTGATAGTAAGATTGCTTAATTAAATTTTGAATGTAACAAGGTAAAATCTTGTGACATGCGTAGTACAGGGGTATCTGTAATTGTAGGGTTAACAGGAGGTTTGTAGGTGAGAAACAATACAGAATTATTTTTCTAGATAAATCCTACAATCAGTCATTGGCTATCTAGTTTTCACAGGAATTGGAGGGTTAAAGAAAGCTTTCTTTGCAAGGTTATGTATCGGTTACAATTTCATTACACAGTTTTCTTAGGGAATGACTTGTAATTGAATGAATAGTGTGACAGTTTCTCATATGTTACTTTTATATGGTTGCTATATGACATACAGCAGCAACTTGCACAAATATTCACCCCCCAGCAAAGTTTCCAAAGATATTGTTGTCATCTGAGCTTGCAGTAATGAAACTTTCAAATGCAACTTTATATTTAGAATCTACACAATCTACTCCAAATTAAGAAAGCTCTGATATTACGTAAGTTAGATTTTCAAATAAAATTAGAATATTCTCAGTTACATAGGTATTCAACCCCTTTGCTATGGCAACCTTAAATCAGTTCAGGTGCAGAATATTAGTTTGAAAGGTCACAAAATTAGTGTAGTGATCTCTGTCTGTGTGTAAACAAAGTGGTTTAACTTGACTTCAGACTAAATGCATCTGTTCAAGCCACAACTCGTATTGTGATATGACAAACCAATGACGACCAAGGAGCTTTCCAAATGAGTCAGGGATAAAATAGTAGAGAAGCGGAGATCAGGAGAAGATTACAAGAACATTTCAAAGTCACTGATTATCCCTTTGAATACAGTGAATTCCATCATTAAGAAATGGAATGTGTTTCATACCACCCAGTCACTACCGAGATAAGGCTGCCCTTCCAAACTAAGCAGCCAGGTAAGCAGGAAACTGGTTAGGGATGCCACTGTGAAGCCAACAGTGACTTTGAAAAGTTTGCAAAGTTCCATGTCTGAGATGGGAGTCAGTGTTCATATGTCGACAATATCCCGGCCCCTATACAAAACTGGCCTGTATGGGCGATTGGCATGAAATTAGCCATTACTGAACTAGAATCATCTTAAGTCTCGTATGGAGTTTGCAACAAAGCATGTAAATGATACTACAAACAGGTGGCAGGTTTTGTGGTCAGACGAGGCAAAAATTGAGCATTTTGGTCAAAATTCAAAGTGCTACATCTGGTGCAAGCCCAACACAGCACATTAATCAGTCAACACCATTCCAACTGTTAAGTACGGTGGTAGCAGCATCATGTTATGGGGATGCATTTCATCAGCAGGGACTGGGAAGCTTGACAGGGTTGAGGGAAAGATGGATGGTGCAAAGAACAGACAAATCCTAGAAGAAAACCTACATGAGTCAGCCAAGTATCTAAAGCTGGATCGAAAATTCACATTTCAGCAGGACAGTGATCTGAATCACAAGGCCAAAACCACACTAGAGTGGTTTCGAAAGAAGAAAGTGAATGTCCTGGAGTGGCCCAGTCAAAGTCCTGACTTGAATCCAGTGTAAAATGTATGGCGAGACTTGATGATTGCAGTCCATCAATGATCCCCAATGAACTTGTCAGAATTGGAACAATCTTGTTAGGAAGAATAGGCAAAAATTACACCATCCCATTGTGCAAAGCTGGTAGAGACCTATCGAAAAAGACTCACAGCAGTAATTACTGCCGAAGGTGCTTCCACCAAATACTGACTTAGGGGAGTGAATACTTATGCAATCAGCAAATTTCAATTTATATATTTTCTTTGCACGCTTTGCTGACATTCAACCTCCTTCACATATAATGATAAGTTTGTTCATTAGAGTTTTGAATAAAAACAAGTTCATTAGAAAAATTGTTTACATTATTTGTATTTCATCAAAATGGGGTGAATACTTTTGCAAGGCACCGCATATCTCAGTAAACAAAGAAAATTGAAGGCTATTAAAAAGAGACTATGGGTTAGTAAAATCTGTAATGAGTAATTTAAATTAAACTCAGGACATTAGAGAGAGATGATGAAAAAAATAGAAAATGGGTAAGGCTTAGCAAACAATATCACAATGCACATACAAGGGTGATTGGGAATTTATTTAAATATTTATTTTTAACAGTGCTTCCACGGGCCAGGCACCCAGGATTTGGGCTCTATGGCAGATCTTAATATATAACATCATTATGGAAGGAGCTAAAACCTATTTTTAGCTTTTTCAGGTTGAACTAAAATTCCACATAAAGTTTTACAAAAAATTTGTAGATATAGTGATGCTATCGCAAGTTTTTGACTCCCATAGTATGCAGTAGTAAACTTAGTTTTTTTGGTGGACATTCACCTTAGAAGATGTACCTGTGATGCTGTGTTGTTGACTTACCTTCTCAGCCTCTTGGTTAAGATCAAGCGTAGTTTATTGTGTTCTTGGCTATATGTTCACGTTCTTGTTCTCTGTTTTCAGTGTAGATATGAAGGCCTTGATCTTGGCATCAGTGGGATAATTCTCATCACCTTGATCAATGTTACTATTCTTCTTGAACTCCACAAGACTCTGAGCAGGTGCAGCTGAGTAATTGGATGCTGCAACAATTTCAGTAATGATCATTGATATGGCTTTTGAATATCTATGGGTTTCAACTGCAATATACCATGCTTCTTGTACTTTGCTCTCAAAAATGTAATTCATGTTCAAATCTCAGTATCACTTGGCAAATCCAGTCGACCGGGGTTATTTGCTCTTCAAGCATTCTTCTTAGTCTCATTTTGTTACGCTTGTCATTAATGCTTCTCATAAACATCTTGTCAATATTATCTTTGAAATTGTCAATGTATTTCGATCCATTGACAAGACTATATGCAGGTTGCTTTGCCCAACCACGGGAGATTGTTTTGGGGATGAAATCGTTGTCATCGTAATCCAAGTCAGAATCATTTGCTGATGATGCTATTTCATCTCGTTTCATAGTATCAGTGAAATCCACATGACCTTGATCAATGAGATCCTTTACATATTTCAACGACACTGTGAGTAAATCATTCTTTGCTCTACCACCATGACATATTTTGATCTTTTTTTCCTCACCGTTTGAAATGTGTGCTGGCGTACACCACATTCATTGTCTTTTTCAACAAATTCATTCATTGCTTCCAGTGGAGATTGTTGTGTTTTGCGGTTGTGTTGTATGTACCTCAATGCATGTGTTGTGAATGTACGTTTTGTCACAGGTCTTTGTAGCTCACAATGATTGCTATCATTCATCGGCTCTGGTTTGTTTTGTTCATCAATAACATCACTTTCACCATCTGAGTTTTCGTCTTTCGCATTTTCATCTTGAGCACCGTTTTCTTGATTATCTACAGATGACACTGGGTGAAATGGGTCCATCAAATCAACTGTGAAAGAGTTCATGCCAGAATACTTTTAAATATGAAATCTAGCTGCATCAAACACCAACTCATTGTATCGAGAAAGCTTCTTTGTTTTCAACCTGAAGCTCGACACTTTCTCACGTTCAAGTGTGAACAAAGATACCACAGTATTTGCTGGTCCACCATTCTTCTGAAGCACTATACATGGAGAGCACTTGGAGAGATTACATTGTTCTCCATATTGACATATTTCAAGATATGATGCATTGCAATATCAAAATGCACATTACTGCATCCTTTTCTGTCTTGTGTGTCTATATACACAAACAATTGCATTTCAAAACTATGGTGGTAAGCTATCAGAAACATTCCAAATATTAGCGATCCATTGTACTATCTTTGCATTGTCCGATAGAACGTACAGTTTGTGAATGTTTGGATGATCCTTTTTCATTTGCATCAAACCAACTTTGAACGGTGAGAAGACAACGATCCAATCCTGCTGTGAATCATCACTGGAAATATCATCGTAATATGAAATCCTGAAAGATCTATCTGAACCATCTACAACGGGGCGAGTATACACCATGGTTCCATGCCAACTCAGCCCTTTCTTTCCGTAATGTTTTCTCACAGAAATACTCGTGTTCGTACTTCATTTTGTAGTCCATGACAATAAGCGCTTCATCAGGTACAAGGTTATCATGAATTGATTGAATCCTCTGACATTGATTCTCCACTCGAATATGATGAGCCAAAAACAACTTGAATTTGTGTGCACAATTCTTCAGCAGTCCATAACAGTCTGAAGGTGCATACTTCAGCAAATAATGAATCGTACAAAACAGCACCTGACATTTTTAACAACTACTGACAATAGCAGCACCTGCTTCAGAAGCTGCACAGCCAAGCGCTTATCAGATGTTGTGACTGGCTGCACAATCACTTGCAATGTGAGCATCAAAATCATACTTTAAGAAATGTTCAAGCCTTGTCAGCATCTTGCAGGATATTTGCTTTACAGCCTTCACTTGGATTCGACTGACAATGTGTTCCAAAACACCAATATTGTCATATAACAATAAACCAGCAGCACAGTCAACAGCCTTTTGACCCTTCTGATTGAATGATGTCAATGCAGAAACTACTTTTGTGAAAGAGCCATGTGATATCCTATCTGCTGCATTCGGTAACTGTTCCAAATAGTCACGATAAATGTACTCTGCTATTTTCTGATGAGTAAAGCGAGGGAAATCATTGTTTTACCATCCACTTCAACCTTTTTTTTGTCCCCCAAGATAAAGCTTTCACATTGATTGGGCTCAAGATGAACTCGCTTACAGTAATGTTATACAGATCATATTGTAGGTTCTAGATAAAACCCAGACTTCAATTAACAAAAGTGCCGTTTTGGCTGTTTCAAAAGCTTTTTATCCCATCTTCAATCTCTTTCATTTCATTGATTGTCATCGACTGATATAGCAGTGCAAGTATAACTTTTCTCCGAATACATTTCTCTGGCAGAGCTTGTTGAACTTTGTTGGCAGATGAGAATAGTTTTGTATCATCAGATATCTTACAAATTTCAATTCCAATCGCATTCATAAGACCATCTGGATCTCCTGGGAGTAACATAGTACATAGAATCCTTAATACAGTCATGCAGAATGCAAGCAATCGATTGTTCTTGTCAAGAGCACTGAAACTTTATGCCTTCCATTGAGCTTCATAATTTAGAAAGTTTGATGTCGCTTTGGATTTGATACCAAAGAACTGCTGAATTGAATAGACATCGTTCCTGGATGCCTGGCCCATGGAAGCACTGTTAAAATTCTGAAATAAAAACTTATATAATAATATAATTTGATTTATTAACTATGTTTTGATGCCAAATTTATTTATATATGTTCATATTAAAGTAGTTTAATTAAATTTGAAATGTAACTCTGAAAATAGTTGACATATGTACTTTGACCTACCTGTATATAGAGGGTTAACTAATAGTATGTTATTAACATTGAACAGTGTTTTTGCGATAATAACACTATCCAAAAACGGATAACCTAATAACCAGGTGTTTGGCTTCTCTATGCCGAAATTCTCCAAAATAGAAACAATTTCAAAAGTTTATAGACTCCTTTATTTTCACTCTGTTAGAAACAAAAAAATATTTTTCCTATTGCCAGGATACAAGAAATCAGCAAATGCTGCATCCCTGGTTGAAGAAAAAGTTCAAAAGTAAGTTTTCACTACAGTTTTGTATTTTGTAATTCTTTTAATATATTGCAATATTTAAAATAATTCTTACTGGTTTATATCCAAACTAATATGTAATAATAAGCTATTTAAATAATGATTTTTACCATGTTGTAAGAATGCTTTTTATTAAACACTTTGCATTTATCTATGGTAAAAAAATAACAGTTTTCTGTACTTTTTTAGTTCACTTTTTTTATCTTCTTGCACTTAATCATCAACGAAGACATTGCAATGGTGCTTTATCAAACAAATTTGTAATAATCATTATAACCTCTGGTCAATATTTTTGTCAATTTTAAGTGATTATACTTTCTTGTGAATACTTGTATTAGCCAAACAGTTTTTTACACATGTTTAAACATCTAAATAGGGACACTATTACTGCATCATGATAAAACAGAATTTTACAAATTAAATGACTCATTATGTTGCAGAATACACAATCAAATACTTGAAATAACTGAAGGGAAGATAGGTGAATCACAGAAGAAAGTAGACTCTCTCAGTAATCAGGTTGATGGTGTGTCTTCAGCCATAACAAAAGCTAATGTTGCAGTGAAAACAGCTATCCGGTTAGTCTGATTTAAATTATGTAATTAGATTTACTCCTTAGCTCCTTTCTTTGCTTATAAAAAGAAGGATTATCTGGATATAGCATAACAAGTGTTTGTTGTGATACTTGTTCAGGATAAAAATCTGTATTGGTCAGAGGTAGTGAGTAACTGGTCCTAAACTGTGATATTGTGATTGAAATGAAACCTTTTTTAAATTTCCTAAGAAACATCAAAAAAGGAGAAGAGAAAGTTACAAGTTTGGAGAAAGAAACTGTAGAAAATACTGATGATTTGGAAAAGTTGAAGAAAGAGCTAGAAAATCTGGAAGTGAAGGCCCAGAAAGTCATGGATGATTTGGATGCATCTGACGTAAGACATTACCACAACTTCTTTAAAAATAATCTTTAAACAAGATCTAACAAACTAGTTGAAAGTGTAACAAACAAATACCATAAACTTTGCTTTTCTCTGAAGTTTAGAACATTTATCATCAAAAAGTCTTTTGTTATAAACTATAACTAATTGAATAAAAAAATCTACTTTCACAAACTAAAAATATGAAGTTAGTAATGTAATATCATTTTCAAAAATGAACTTTGTAATGACTGATAATATTGTTAAATATAGTTTATAAAAAACTTTTCATTATTAATTACATATTTTGTCATATTCATGAAATATTTTTTAACCCTTTCTGGACTGGAGGAATGCCATTAATATATTTTGATTTTTTTTTTCTGTAACATAGTGACAATTTTTATTAACTTTTAACTTAGTACAAACTTTACTTAAACAATATCTAGGTGTCAACAAAATACTTTGTTAATAAAACTACTGACAGATAAAGAAAATGATTTAGAAACAAGACATGGGATGGTAATTTCTTGGCAAATATAAATATGAAAAAATTCTAAAAGAAAAATTGATAAATTAAATTTGGAACTTTTTGAAAACTATTTTCTGAAATGTATTAAATAAATTATATATAATATTCAAATGTCAATTCTGAAATATTTTGAGTAAACAGATTTTTGAAATAGAGTTATATCTTTAACTTAAATTTTGAAGTTTGATGTGCAGGAGTTTACTTGACAATTGAAAGGTGCATATAGATTATATAGTTATTGTTATATCAAAGCTTTTTTTTCCTGTGGAAAGTTAAGTAGCTTGTTTATATTTATAGAAGACATAATAAATGACCAACAAGTAAAGATTTCTCAGCACTGTGTACTCTGTGTTAATTTTGATTTTCATGTGCAGTATAGGCATTTGGTTATATATGGTTATAGGTGAACAAAGGCAAGATGTTTGGACTGTATCAAAGTTATTCAAAGTTAAACTACCATAGAAAAGTTTGTCTTGGTTTTTAGAGGTTGTGTTTTTGTAATTATTTTTTTTTGTTTCATTTATGAAACTATGAATGAAAAATTTTCAGACTGGGATGAATTTGGATAATATTATTAGCCAGAAATAATCAGGTTGCTCTTTCCAAATGTATTTTTTAAAGAAAACTTTAGATATTTAATTGCTCATACAATAAGCATATGCAAGTGTAATTCTGATAACAACCTTCATTGTAAGGAATGATATTAAATTTCTCTGTCACAAAATATTTTAAAACTTTTTTATTTTGTAGAAAGAAAAAGAGAAACTTGAGAAAGAACTTCAAGAAATGTTGCAAGAAATCAATGTAATTAAAGAAAAAGAAAATAAACTAAACAGTGACCACATTGAAGTCAAGAATGAGTTGGATAAATGTACTGCTAAAGTTCGAGATAATGTCAATAAAATCAAGCACTGGGAAAGTCAGGTATGAAGTACACTTTTTACAACTTCTCTCTCTGTATACAAGATACTGGTTTCACTTTGAGGTGTATGTATGTATGTATGTGTGTGTGTGTGTAATTGCTTGCAAAGACAACACAGTTGTAGTAGGTGTCTGTGATTTGTTGGGGATAAATTTCAACAATAAAGACAACACACAATCCACTTGTTTTGAAATAATATATTCAAAACAAGTCAAACCTATGTACAAAAACTCGTTACACTATTGTTTACCACAGTTGAATCTAACACTTTAATAAATAATTTTCTTTTTTTCATCAGAAGTTCACATAGACTGGTTCAATTACTTTAGAACCCAATTGACAAAATGAAGTATTTATTCTTTCCTCTTTTATCACAATACAACAGTGATAAATTCATTTATGTTACCCCGTGGGTTACCACAATTGTATCCAGAGCTTTAAATAATTATCTCCTTTTTCGATGAAGAGGAACCCACTTTGAGACTAATAATGCTTGAAGATAGCTTGAATGGGTAATGAAGAAGAACTTTAATGTAAGTTTAACATAACTGCACATCTGCAACGTTTCGATGAAAAATGTAATGAAATGTGTTCCAAGATGCGACAATAATTTTTTGACGACCTAATATGTAAATAATGCATGGCCAAGAAAAAGTTATCAGAAAGAAAATATATATATATGAATGTGTATTGCCGTAACAATAAGTACCATTTCAAACACCAAAAATTTGAAACTGCTATATCAAAACACGTTAATTACTGTACTTCCAGATTGGGTCATATTTTTTTCTGCATTGCTTGGTCTTCCATTTATTTTTATAAAAAACACCAAACACTAGTTATTACAATCCTAAAATACACATGTTCAGGTGTATTTTAAATTTCTGTAATTATTTACAAAATATTTAGTTTGTAAACTGTGTGCATTTCATCTTTAATTACTGAAAAGCGGACATGATCCTGTGCCCACCCATGCTAATAACATAATCTGTTCAATTTTGTATACTTGATACAGCTTGCTAAGTTGGCTCTTCAGGAAATTGATGGTGAAACTACAGAACCCCTTAGTACACTCTCACCTGAAAACTTGGAGAAAGTAGATACTGAGACATCTCAATATGAAATAACAGTTCTTGAAGAACGACTTCAAAACTTGAAGCCTAACATGGCTGCTATTGCAGAATACAAGAAAAAAGTAAGACTTTCTATGTGTTGTGTTATATTTGAACTCCTGTTTTTAATACAACCAAATGTCTGGGTATAAATAAAAACTATTGATGGACTACTGAAGACAAAATAGGAACATTTTTCTTTTTCTTTTTACACCACAACTATAAATTGTTTTGTCAGCTTTTTTATTTGTAAAAATGGAAACATCATCTGTAATTTTAATACCATATTTTTCCTGATTACTGAAAAGCAATTATAAAATTATTTCCACAGTTGATCTCTGGTGATAATTGAAGAACTTTTTTTATTGTAAATTAATATATTTATTGTTAGGAAAAGTGGATATAATATTTCTCTATAACAAACCAAATGATTTTCTGTTTAGTACATGTCACGAATGTAAAAAATATCTTATAAACATGAATGATTGGCACTTGTGTAATTTTTACAATTGAGTACATAATTAAAATGTGTTTTGTGATTACACAATTAAGTTTATTAAAGCTGTCAACGGCTCCCACTTAAGAACACTATATATATTGAATGTTTGACATAAAAGTGCATTGTAACTTGTAGTGTTTTGAAGTGGAAGCTGTTGATAGCTTTAATAAACTTAATTGTTTAAAAAAAAATGAAACTTTGCATTTTAATTATTTGTTCAATGTTTTATAAGCACTTGGTATATGTTTGTACTAAATATATTAATTATAGTGAAATGTTACAGGACTATAGTCAATATAATTTATCCATACATGTATATATAAGTATTTGTTAGCTCTAGCAATTAATATTTGATGTATTAATGAACTTTTAAACGTATGCAGTGATGCCAGAGCACTATTTGTGTCACAAAAATATATATATAGTCTCATACTAAAAGTTTTAATTCATGAATCATACTATAAATGTAAAAAACAGATTAGTTTTTAAAATAAATCTATTTAATAGGGGTAGATTTCATCAGTATGCTAATCATTCTGTAGCCTTCAGTGTTTCTAGTGTAAATGTTATTGATAGAATCAGTAAAAGACTAGTGTGCTTTAAGTATCCTTTTTGATAAAAGAGTAAGCACAAATGATCACATATAAAGTGTAATAGACT